TTAGAACGACGTGAAACCGATTCAAGCTTAACATTCCTCAAATCATTGAGCGCTAGATTGTAAATGGCGTAATACGCCGTCTCAGTTAAATGCGTTAAGGCTAAAGTAACCGACAAAATTAATTAAACACGTATTAAAATAAGATGCTGAGAATAACCTTAGGGGCGACAAAGCATCTGCATTTATGGCACATCTGTTTGTGAACCACAGGATCCACTTACCATCAGAAGATAAGAAGTAGGTTTTTATTGAATAAGTGTGAGAAACGAGCACACAGTCCACTTGATAATAAGTGGATATTGTAGCCCATAGATCACCCCTAAGGACTAAGATGGAGTGCCTCGTTTCCAGTAAATAGGGTCTGAGGTTATCTACACTCACCACGTGAAACACAGACCATTCATGCTACAACCATAATAAAGCCGCAGCGTGGCTCTAACGCGGTAAACGGTACCGTAAATAGAATAATATTGGCTAATTCCCAGTATATAATGCCCTCGTCGTTGTCATCAGACCGTAACAGTTGCGGTCACTAGACCAGGTTTTTCAATTTGAGGGGCAACAGCATTAAAAATACGGGATTCAAGGTTAAAATAAAGAACAAGCCATATTTTTTTTGTTAATAATCTACTCAATACTCGCCATTCGATCGCATACGGTGTTTACTAACGGGGGTGCACCTTTGCATGCGAGAATATGCCTATTGAATGATAAAAATATAGGAAAATATACTGTCATATTACATATTAGCTTAGCGAAATTAAGGTACACGGCTAAATTCATAGCGAGAAAAAGGGATTTCCCCGTAAAATACACTCTTGCTTACTCTAGTAACTGTACATTACCGTAAATAGAGCTCTCGGTAATTGAAAGGATTTACCCTAATGGCGACCGGTAGGCGATTTAGCGAATGCAGTCACATGAAACTGAAACAGTATCAGATGGGTCTATTCTTTAAGTCTGCCACCACCCATCACTTCCCAAGACTATAGAATAGAATAATTTTGTACTGAATATAGATTACAAGTAATTCTTATTGGAAGTCATATTTACGTTTAGCACTGGTTTGGAAGATAAATCTGTGTTCTGGGAAGAACCTGTAAGAAACTCAGCGGGACTTTTTTGGATTAGATTTTGTAATATTACTTCCAACGTGTTGTTCTGACTTCTCTTCATCTGACCTCTGATTCGACCTTTCATTTAGTTTAAGTAATCTAGATAAATACTACAAGGCGTAGACAGATTTTTGTGTGTTCACGAATCGGTATAGCACACGTTTTGGAAATCGATCGAAAGGATATCATCAAACGTCATGTCTTAAAATAATACTAGAAACTTACATGCATTTACATTAATTACCAATAGCAGTAGTTCAGTATGACGATATTTCTAGAAGACATGCTGCTTTACAGATGTCCTCGTGTTGAACGCAACAGACAATCGGACACGCTACGCCTTGTCACGTAACAATGGGCTCATGAATATTCAGCTACAAAGGTTTCGTCTTACGTACGTTACGCCACATGCAAATTATGTGTTATTTTCTATATGCAACAAGTAGGTAATTAATTATTCGTAAGATACTGAAAGCAGTAGTATTTCTATGCAGAATTATTTCTATTTAAAAAAAATCAAGCAAAGATCTAGAAGCCGTTGGTTAATTCAATCCTGTAGTACATGCTTGAGCTTTCATTGAGTCATTTTTACCACAAACTGAACCACTAAAGTATACTTCTGGTACGTTTACTGGATTTGATGGAAAGGACACTTAAGTCTAATGACAGTGTCCATCTAGATCCAGTTATACAGGAACAAATTTAAAGACCATATAAATTAAATAGAGAGAATAATAATGTTCTCCAGACCGAATTCGGTCACGGCAGCCAGTCTCAACGGAGACTAGCCATCGGCGCAGGACAGGATTATAGTGTCCAAGTGTATGCGCAAGCACAGGTGCACTCTCTATTCCCTCACTCTCAAAGTCCGAGGGGACCGTAAGCCGATACGACCGGAGAGAGATCAGGCGCACGGCCAATGGCTTTCCGAGGCACGGGGATGACACACCGCCAACTTCCAAACTTTTTTTATAGGATAGGGTGATACACGAGCACCCAGTCCACCTGATTGTAAGTGATTGCTGTGACCCATAGACATCTATCTACATCTGTACTCGATAAAGAATCAAAATACAGATGCGTTGTCACCCGTGAGGACTAAAATGAAATGCCTCTTTTCCAGTAAAATAGGTCTCCGGTTCTCTACACTCACTATACGAAACACAGCAGTGTCAAGCTGCCATTTTACGCTGGTTTTCTGTGAGAGCGTGGTTCTTCGCCGGTCGAGCCGACCCATTCGTGCTACAACTATACTACTAATATAGCTGCAGCCTGACTCTATCACGCATAAAATCTGCTGCTACTGAGAATTTCTTGATGGATAAACTCAATAAATGATTTTTTTGGCTCGACTCGGGATTCGAACCCAGGACCTTATGACCTTACAGCAGTCGCAACGAGGCAGTCAAAAGAGAGAATAATTATTTAGTGAATGCTGGTTTTGAGAATAAGATAATATAATCTGTCGTTCCTTTATTGTTTTTATCCAACGTTTCGCTCCATTTTAAAGGCACGGAATGCTCTGTGATGCTTTGCCGTGGCCATTCTTACCCCGACTGTTATCCATGGAACTGGAGGGCGCTTAAGTCTGACAACATACTTGGCAGCATGTTTATCAAAGAGTTTTAGCATATTGCCGTTCAGGATATTGACTTTATCATCAGCTGTAGATGTAGCAAACACAGAAGACCAGTCAATTTCATCAGCATCGCGCTTAAGCTTTTCAACATCCAGTCTAGGCAAAACTACGAATAGAGACAGGTCACCAATCACCCCCGGAGGAGGATGGATTTTGTATTTGTTTTTACGTTTGTATTGGGTCATGTATTAGGTTTTATGGGTGTATGTATATAGAGCTAGGTGTTCGTGAGGACCATTGTGAGTCATTACAGATTACACCAGTCGACGGAATTTTAAGTGTGAGTTGCTTTTAATAATAACAATATGATCCTCTTTATTTGACCACAATCCTATACCTTTACGTAACATTATTTAACATGGTTATTTGGTGATAGATTATTATTGTTATTATATCATTCCTTGTGTTATAAATTAAGATATGCTATATACCTGGAAAATTACGACAATACGTAGTCCATTCACTGCGGATTAAATCTAATATACAAAAATTTAAGTTAGTTTGTTCATATTTTATGCGCTGCTATACCGTTCATCAGGTTGCGGAAAAACTTTGTCGACTTATTGCTTGCTCTTACGCGAACGTTATAGGCATAGTTCAATTAAATAACAGTAGGTGGCGTGCGTATCGTACCGACAAATTTATTTGAAAGTCTATCATTCAATTTCAATGAACGTATTATTATTACTAATTAAACAATGTGACTTTTCCAAATTATAAACAATATTTCCACAATTATTTCTTCTGTGACAGCAACTTGCCTTAAAAGAAAAATAAATAAAATTTTTACTGACATTACTTTGGGCAGGTTAAGATCTTTCACTCTTGTTAAGTTAAACAACTTGAAAATAATTGGTGCTATACTCTTAAATGATATAAACTCTAGTTTAATTCTAAGTTCGTCTGTCTTTTTGAATTTCTTTAACCTATACTTGCCTTGTGGTATGCATTCTCGTTATTTTCGTATAGTAAAAGTGGAAAAAGAAAACATAAAACACAACTTTTACAGCAAAAATTTGGTAACTTTTATTTATTCACTATATTAAACAATGAGTGACACTACTTGAACCTCTGTGCCCCCAGTTTTAGCTTTCACTTGTGCGTCCTTCACTGGGTAACTTAAGAAATGTACTTTTTTATGGAATATAGGTGAAAAACGAACACACAGTCCACGTTCTATACTCGAAGAAGACTAGATGCAGATGCGTTGTCACCCCCGAGTACTAAGATGGAATACCTCGTTGCCAGTAAAAAGTCTCCGGTACTCTACACATACCATACGAAACACAGCAGCATAAAACTGGTACCTATTCTGTAAGAGCGTGGTCCTTTCCCGGTCGAGCTGACCCATCCGTGCTACATACCATAGTATAACTGCATACCGTCATACCATAACAAAATAACATCGAAAAGAAGTAACAGCATTATATGTGGGAACTGATTAATTCGGATTTAAACCATAATGGTGACAACACCTCGTTTCGCATTCGAGCATGTAGACGTCCATTTACATTTTGTATTGTTGTCGAGAATGTTAGTCACCCACAAAACTAATTTAATCATGATGCGATGTGCATGGTCGAGCAAAGTTGCAGATTATACGCACGTCCCACTGCACAGCCCTCCTTTCTTTTCGGAGATGGTTGTCCTTCACGCTGCTTCAGTACATGTTGGCGGACTTTACATGTCCTCGAAATATTTTATTCCACAGAGGATTCCTCAGGACGTTCTCCTTCATCGTCAGGCACGTGGTATATCCATGGTAAAGAGCCGTGGTAGCTACAGTGAGAGCAACCCGGGTTCGATCCCCGCCGGCGCAAATGAAATTGGTAATTGCAATTTTAAGTGATGATTTACCGCGTGCTTTGCGGTGAAGGAAAACATGGTGAGGATAACGGGATGTTTGTGAAATAAAATAAAAAAAAAACTAGTTCGAAGACATGTTAAGTCGCCAACACGCATTGGGGCTACGCGGCGTCCTAAAACTCTCTCAGAAGTGAGAGGAGGCCTGTGCCCAGCAGTGGGTAGTATATAGGCAGTAACTTTAACTTTCAACGTGGTAAATCAGCGCTTACAATTTCATTGGTGCCAGCCGGGATCGTACCAGGTTTATTTGCGTACCGTGTAATTTAGGGCAAGTGAGCTACCACGTCTCGTAAGAAATGTACATGTGTTTAAATTTAAATATAAATTAAGCCTTATTGGATTTTATTGTCTTATTTAACAGTTGTATATTTTTGTTTCAGGCATCGACAATCGACGGCAGACGAAAGGGAGCATGTTTGTTTTGCCAGGAGTATTTCATGGACCTGTATCTGTTAGCCGAGCTCAAGACCATCAGTTTAAAAGTATGTTTTACAATTCATTTTTCTGTTTATTCGTGATTTTATAACTATAATTACAGAGTGAAGACAAATTACTGGTTTATCTTTTTATATAAGATGCCGATGTGCGTGTGCTGTAATTCGTCTCCTTACAAACGGCTTGATCGATTTTCATTAAAGTTTTATGTTGTACTTATCACCTGGATGGTTCCTAGCTATAGTTGGACCCGGTGGGTAGTGCTGTTGTCGAGATCCAGAAATTACCCGTACGAAGCCGGGGCGCATCGCTAGTTTCAAAAAGACTATATGAGTAATTGTTAGGTGAAGTAGCCATAATCCGGCCACAAACTTAAATAAATGTAAGGTACATCTTGAAGGTTGTTTTGTTGTTTACTTTTGAGCTGTTGACGACAACTTGAGATACTCGTAAATATTGGTTAGTTTTAAACGAGCACACAGTCCAACTGATGGTAAGTGGTTGCTGTGGCCCATAGACATCTACATCTATCCTCGTTTGCGAATCAAAATGCAGATGCGTTGTCACCCGTGAGGATTAAGATGGAACGCCTATTTTCCAGTAAAAAGGGTCTCCGGTTCTCTACACTCACCATACGAAACACAGCAGCATTAAGCTGCTACTTTACGCTGGTATTCTGTGAAGCGTGGTCCTTCTCCGATCGAGCCGACCCATTCGTACTACAACTATACTACTAATATAGCTGCAGCATGGCTCTACCACGTATAATACCACGTATAATAGTAAGATAATATAGTTAGATTTTAGATTAGAAAAGAAAATTGTCAAGTTTCATGTACCACCATGACGTTACAGGTGACGACAGTGGACATGCAGAAACCGCCGCCAGATTTCCGTACCAACTTTGAGGCGACGCATCCGCCGATCCTCATCGACAACGGCCTCGCCATCCTCGAGAACGAGAAGATCGAACGGCACATCATGAAGTCAGTGCCCGGCGGACACAATCTATTCGTGCAGGCAAGTAATGTCACTTTAGGTAGGTTGATGATTGTCGTGGTATAGCGGTGGCAAACATTTCGTATATAGTGGGGAGGTTGTAAAAATAGACTTTAAGAAGCTTATAATAGAAACAGAGGATATAAAGCTAGGCACTGACTTTAAATTTTTTGATACGCAAGTAAGTCAATATCGAACCACACACAATTTTTTTTTTTTTACTTTAAACAAGTGCTCGATTGTAAGTGTTAATGAAGCCCCAGATGAAAAAGCTTAGCTTAACAAAAGTATTTTCACACTTCTTAAGGATGCCCAATTTTTATAGAAGTAAGAGTCCACTTAATGGTAAATGGATGCTGTGGCTCATAGACGCTAACATCTTTCCTCTATTAAGAATGAACACAGGCTGTTAATAAAAAAGTTAAAAAAAATACATTGTGAAATGGTAAGTAAGTTACTTAGGTAAAGTCCCTATTCTGACTATGATCGACCACATTTCCGCTACTATGTGAGTTCTGTGAATCTGTGATACCCAACGCATGCAACTTGCAAGGCGAAGGAAAATCGCGACGTTTGGCTCGGAAGAAATAGGTAGATAGTGTAAACAACAAATAAACCCGAAATACGATTCCTAACAGAAATGTGATCGTATTCTGTTTAATTAAAATCTTCTAAACAAAATTTTACTTTCAGTATTTTGTGTTATTATAATCACAGAATAAATAATAGTACAATACAAGAATCAAGAATTATAACTTAAAATATTTTAATTAGTAAGTAGGTACTTGGATAGTGAAGTAAATTTCAACTAAGTTTTGTAATAAAGTACTACTACGACGGTACTTAGAAGCAAAATAAGTAACAGGGTACCTACCTAGATGCACTTCTGGTCATAAAAACAACCTGTTCACCTACTAATTTTTACGTTTATACTTTTCTTTTACTTAAGACACTTAAGAGTATACTTTTACTACTATTCAGGACAAAGAAGTTGCCTCGCTAATCGAGAACCTGTACTCGAAACTGAAGCTGGTACTTGTGCGTAAGGACGAGCAGAAGTCGGCCGCATTGCGCGCACACCTTGGACGTATCGACGCGTTGCTCGAGCGCCGGGGGACGAGGTGAGGCTCTATTCTTATTACTCAGTGCAGTGTTGATATTCACTTGCCCTGATTTGACGGTGACAATGTTCTTTCTTTGTCGTGTAGTGGCGGTTAAGAATATCCACTACCCCATATCTTCCCTTGGGTGTCGTAAGAGGCGACAGAGGGAAACAGTCAGATGTTGTGTGATTGTTCTGTCACCAGGAGCGCGACCATCTGCGCCAAGGAGGTGTCGAATTAATGGTCCACAAGTCTCTCGTTAACAACGTTGAAGATTGTGAGTGTGACAACGAAGGTTGCGTACCTTCTAATCTTTAGTATCACCAAACGGTATTTTTTGAAGGTCATACAGGCTTACGCACCAACCTCGGCACATCCCGATGAGGAGGTAGATGAAATGTATGAGGACAAAACGCACTATATGGTATTAATGTTAATGAGAGACTTTAACGAAAAACTAGGCACGAGAGAAAACGGTGAGCTGAAGGTAGGGAAATTCGGAATAGGGCAACGAAACCCAAGGGACCAGCAGCTAGCCGACTTCATGGAGAAAGAGGGACTCTTTATGATGAAGTCTTTCTTCCAGAAGCAGCCCCACACGAAGTGGACCTGGTCGAGCCCAGACAGTTTGACAAAAAATGAGATTGACTTCTTTATGACGACCAGATGACAACTGTTCAGTGATGTCTCAGTGTTCGCGAGGGTGAAAACTGGCAGCGATCACCGAATGCTTAGTGGCACACTGAACCTAAACGTTAATTTGGAGAGGTCAACGCTCCTTGCCCCTCGTGCTGTAATCTAAAGTCCAGAAAACTTTCAGCTCCTACTACTTTTATCCTAGTTCGTTGAATGTGGGCTTAAACTGTACTTTGAAATTTTCTTATAATAGCAATAATTGCGAGGATAAGTTTATCTCCTATTCTATCTACTGTGGATATTATATCCACCGGTGTGCCCATGCTCGAAGGGTGGATAAAACTAAGCGATAAATTTTCACCTGCCCATGCTAGCCCTGCTGGGATTAATAAAATGTCTGTTATTTTAATATTACTTATTTATTTATTTATTTATTTATTTATTTATTTATTTATTTAGAAAACCAACAGCGTATATAGAAAATATTAACATTAATGTAACAAACTAAAAGTATGGCCAATAACAGGTTTCCCTTATATTGTTTGATGGTAGGTGTATTGTTGTTAGAAGAAAAGGAAAAAGAACAATCTAATAGATAAATTATAAGCAAAATTATAAGCAATTCAATGTAATGAAGGTGGTCATAAGTTTACAGATCAGGAGAGATAGTCAGGTAGAATGATATATTAGATTACCTTTATATATATATATATATATATATATATATATATATATATATATATATATATATATATATACATACATATATATTTACTTATGTATATATACATATTAAATGTTTAAATATATAAACATAATACAAATAATTAATTATAATATATATTAAATAAAATAACTTAAGTACTTATATTTATTTATTAAGAAGAAATAGATGAGAGAATATATGATTGTATATGAATTTAACTTCAACTGCTCTATTTCGTAATAGTTTTCTTGATGTAATCTTTAAACGTAAGTTTAGATTTCGCAAAGAGGTCAATGTGTCCAAATTGTTCATTATATGTACGAGCAAGCCGCGAAAGAACAGTGTTTTGACAGTAGTTTGAATGATGCCAGGGAGTCTGTAACAATGTAGTATTGCGGGTACGGAATTTTGGAGTACGAAAGGTGATTCTTGAGACAAGATATGGACAGTCAATATTACTGTTTATTATATCATATAACAAAGCCATGTCAAGCAAAATGCGCCTGTGTTCCAGAGATAAGAGATCGTGCTCAGTGCAACTGTCTGTGTAAGTATCGATTTTATTCCGACAGCGAAAGTTAAGGTGATTAACAAATATTTTTTGAATACGCTCAAGGCGGCTTTTGTAGACATTGTACTGTGGAGACCATATTGAACTAGCATATTCCAAAACAATTCTGACATATGCAAAATAAACCATTTTAATTGTATTAATATTCGAGAATGGTTTACAGATGCGAAGAACAAAACCAAGATTTTTATAGGCTTTACTGATAACGTAATCAATGTGTTCGGATAGTATCATTTTATGATCAAAAATTACGCCTAAATCCCTAACACTTACTTTTCGGCTGATTTCTAATCCGTCAAAGTGATATTTATTTAGAATTGGCTTAGATTTCCGTGTAAAACTAATACATTCGCACTTGCTTGCATTGACAGTTATATTATTTATTTTGTAATATTCAAATAAACGGTCCAGGTCTTTTTGTATCAATAGGCAGTCATGTATGGTGTTAATTTTACAAAAAATCTTCTTATCATCTGCATACATGAGGTAATTTGTGTGTATAATGCACGAACCAATGTCATATAGGTAGGCATTGTAAAAAAGTGGACCTAAGTGAGAGCCCTGAGGAACACCTGTAGGTATGTTTATGTAGCTCGAACGGAAACCACCTATCACGACTGCTTGTGAGCGGTTTGTGAGATATGATTCAGTCCATCGGAGCAAGTCACCGTGAATCCCTAATATTTGTAATTTGTTGAGCAGGATCATGTGATCCACACGATCGAAAGCTTTTTCAAAATCAGTGTAGATCACATCAACCTGTCCACCTTGATCCATATTTTCAAGGACAAAAGAAGAAAAACTTGCCAGGTTCGTAGTTGTGGATCGCCTTTGTAAAAAACCATGTTGCTGCTCAGGGAAGGCACGTGAAAGCGTGGAGTAAATTACGTTATATACTACTCGTTCAAGGATTTTAGCCGCGGTGTTCAAAATAGAAATGCCTCTATAATTATTTATTTCTGTACGTGATCCCTTCTTGTGTACAGGGATTATGTGTGCACACTTCCATTGATGCGGAAATATCCCTTCACGTAGAGAGCGATTAAATATAATAGTCAAGGGGAGAGCAAGTGATTTAGCGCATCGTGACCAAAAAAAAGAAGGTAACCCATCACTACCGGCACCTTTGTTCGTGTCCAAAGTTTTCAACATTTTTTCAATTATTGCAGCGTTTGTCTGTACATTAGAAACGGTGTCAGTACACAACGATTCCGTATGTGGATATATGTAGTTATTACTAGGAATACCAAATACACTCTTGAAGAATGAGTTGAAAGCATTGCATATGTCTATACCATCGGTGTACTCTATATCTTTCAAAGACATTTTCTTAGGGTAACCTGACCCACCCCGAATGGCTTTGACGAAAGTCCAGAATGTTTTAGGATGTGTTTTGATGCTATTTTCACAACTTGACGTAAATTTATTAAAGCATTCTCTCTGAACACGGTGTTCTCTTGCTCGGAGTAACGAAAACTCATCGTAATCTAATCTATTCCTGAATTTTTTCCAACGTGTGTGAGCATTGTTTTTCTCCTTAATTATTTTTATTAAAGCAGGTGTGTACCATTTAGGATATGATCGCTTCCCTGTGTTATAACTAAAGGGCACATGTAAACGAACACAACTATCCAGTATGTTATAAAAGGTATTTGTAGCTTCGTCTACAGTGCCTGTACATAAAAGAGACCTCCAGTCCTGTTCTAAAAGATATGTATTAATTTTTTCATAATCAGCCCTCCTGAAATTTCGCCTCGGCGCAGCTGTTTCCCGTAGAGGAGTAATGTTTAAATCCAAAACTATGAAGCAAAAAGAAGGATGTGCGTGGTCCTCCCTGAGTAGCGGCGCAGCCGCAGGGATGATATTCAGAGGTAGATTAGAGAATGCAAGATCTAATGTGTTACCAGCATGATTTTTTAAAGTATTAAATTGTCTTAACCCGTGAAATGTTAGTGTTTCCATCAGCTGGATACTCGCTTCTTGTACCTCAATAGGCCCTTTTTTCAAAGCTGTATATCCGTTTGGGTTCCAAGAAATGAACGGCAAGTTGAAATCTCCTAATATTACAAAATTATCATTTGGAGAAACCTCGATAATACTATTAATTTTTTGTTTAATAAAAACGAGATCCGATGGCATTTGATGAGGGTCAGGAGCAATATATGCCACACAAATATGTAAGTTGGAATTTGAAGCGCACGCGCTTGAAGGAATAGTAATCCACAATAGCTCAGTAAGACCGCATACGCCGAGGTCAGGCATTATTATATTATTTTATTATATTACATCATTACAGGCAGATACTTCAATTTTGTTTATATGTTACATTCAAATATTCGATATCATCATCATCATCATCATTACAGCCTTTCATAAGTCCACTGCTGAACATAGGCCTCCCCTAAGGAATGCCACAAAGCACGCCCCTGAGCCACCTGCATCCATCGACTTCCTGCATGTCTTACCAGGTCGTCACTCCATCTCGTGGGGGGTCGCTATAACGGATATTCGATATAGTACAAAATAATTTAAATATATATTTAAATCAATACTTTTTTAATTCCAGATTTCTGACAGGTGACACCATGTGCTGTTTCGACTGCGAACTGATGCCGCGTCTTCAGCACATTCGCGTCGCCGGCAAATACTTTGTGGACTTCGAGATACCGGTATTTTTTTTTGTTTACAATGAAATTCTAACTTTTTAGTGATTCCATTTCTTATTCTATATTATGAAATTCTTACTTTATTATTTAAAACTTTCGAAATCACATGAACAAGTTATAAACATCGGCAAAATGAAATTGTTAACTGCAATTTTAACTGCTGAGTTTACCACGTGCGTGAGAATAATGAGGAAACCATGCATGATTTAAAAAAAGTTAGTTTTTTGGTTTCGGTAAATGTTTTAAGTAAGGGTTGACATCATGCCAAAGTGCACCTCATGGTAAGTGGATGATGTAGTCATGATGCCCTTAGACACACGTTACATCTATCCTCTATTAACAAACAAAATGTATATGCGTCAGCCCTGAAGACTAAGATATAATGCCTTGTTTCTAGTAAAAAGGTTCTTAGAATCTCTACACTCACCAAACGATACATGGCAATAATTCGCTATTTTATGCTATAGTATTACGTGTGAGCAGTTCTACCCCGGTAAAGGCGACCCATTCCTGCTACGACCATAATATCGATACCTCCTAAGTATAATGAGTCAACTGACATTATAGTAATTTTATAGGAGAGCGATTTGAAGGCAAATCGTTTATATTTTAATGAAATCAAACTAATTCGAAACATATTAAATGTTTTTTATAATAAAGATTGCAAGCTCTTCCTTTGGTATAAAATGATTTTGCTGATTTTTGTTTTTAAATGACAATTTATGTACATAGCTGGGTATACGCCAGCGGGTCTCAATAGTAAAATGGTTTAACTACCAGTTATATTCATGTACGTTGTACATCAAAATCCATTGTTTACACTAAAATATCATAAATATGATTGTCATTTTATTAATACGAACTTACTTTTGATTTTTTTTCGGGATATTCTGTCTCATTTAATAATAAAACGTTGAAATTACATCACTTGACTCATTATACTAGGAAAGTACAAAGCTATGTTAACATTTGAAACTTCGACGTATACTGAACTAATATACTTCAACGAGGCTTTTTAATTACTCATTTTGTTTCTAATACTTTACGAAATGTGGGATTAATAAAGGCTAGGAAGAAGAAGAAGAATCATAAACAAAAACAGCGCATTTTAAAAAATCACAATGTATTTTTCACTATAATTAAGTAGGAACATGTTTTTTGGCCTTAGTAAAAGCTACAAGTTGAATAAATCAACAATAACAAATTATAAAAGTTGTATCATTAAAGTTTCATAAAAAACAACAAACAATCAATAAAAATAAAAACTAAAACAGGTATACTTCTCTAGTAGGTCAGTATAGATATTAACAACTAATAATGGTAACTTACGTTAAACAATATTAATAAAGAGAATAGAAATGTATAACATAAATATCTAATAAAGTCTAGGCAATTATAATACTCAAAAATAGCTATAAAGTTTAACAAAAGAAATAAAAATATTAAAGGTTAAAAATCAGTCTGAATCGCTGTCATCAGCTGCATTAGAATTAGTTGAAATCAAATTATTAAAAAATAAATGATACTCTTTAGGAATTACCAACGTTTTACAAAGATCCATCAAATCTTTGTGCTTATTTTGGTCTATAGGAATGGGTGTCTGATAAGCTAAAGAAATATTATCTATATCAATATTCAATTCTCTTCGATTTCGTGTAGCTTTAAGTTTCTTTACACAATCTATCCACTTGTAAGCATCTTCTTGGTAACTCGTTTTATAAAACACTCTAAATGGATTTTCTGCTTTAACTAATACTTCCGTTACTTTATTCCAAGGCATTTTAGATCCATCATTAGTAGTTGTCCAGTTGTTTATAAGTTTTAGCTTTGATTTGAAGTCTTTTATTAAATCCTGAGACACTTCGATAACTTTGTATGGCTTTTCATCGGATTTGGCAAATCTAAAAGCTGTATACCATTGATCAGGCGTATAAAGTATTTTATCTTTCGTCTGTCTTTCAATTAAAGCGTGCATACTGTCGCCTTCATTTTGCGTGTGACCTACTATTAGAAACCGATGCCTGATATCTATACTAAACTTCGAAGTAGCTAACATATACATTAGGAACACAATTCTGTTTCTATTTTGGCCTCCACAGTTGTCTGACCAGAACCGGTAATCTTTGACTCCTTCACCCACCGTATCCTCTATAAACTTAAAAACACAGCTGGAAATTTCATTTGCACCTCTCTTTGCTGTCTGTTGATGCCATGAAAAACAATAACCTTGGTGAGATCCCAGATTGAATATCGTGAAATTATACAAGGAAAGTTTCCGTTTATAATAAAAGTACTTACGTTCCCGTGGTGTACATTAAGGCACTTTTGAAGATCGAATGCTGCTGTAAGAATTTCATTATTTTGTAATGCTAATTCTTTATCTTTTGTTTTAATTTTTCTTGCTTTCTCTTTTTCTTTCAAATGCTCTTCATGCTTCTCTTTATCTGTCTGTGTAACTTGCTTGTTATTTTCGTAAATGTGGCATTGTTCACAAACATCTTTTTTGGGTTTATGAAAACCTATATTGATATTTTTATTAATGATATCTCGGTATTGTCTCACGGTACTCGCTTTAGAAGAGTATTTATTAGAATCAAACCATTCATTATATAACATAAACATTTTTGGGAAGGATAAAGAGCTCTCAAGATATTTTCTACTCGATTTTTGGCGAGTGTAATGTGATTGTACAGGAGAAAATGCTTCAACGTGGTCTATAACACTGCGAACCATATCTTCATTAATAATCTTTGGATGATTAATATGCCTTCCACGCTGATCTGCTTCAACAAATCCATTTCCTTTATCGGACTTTTCTAAAGCTGTGTAAACAAAATTAAAACTAATAGAAAGGGTTCTTAGGAACATAGTTTTGCAAACCGATATTTTTGTAGACTCAATATTATCTCCTTGACTGCTTGGAAGGTAATAAGAAATAGTGTGAAGACGTTTTGAATTTTCTTTATCCACAGTAAATCCTTTTTTTTTCAGATCTTACAGCATATCTTGCCAAAAAATCCCATTGTCTTGAGTGGTCTCCAATACTCCAAAACATATCAAAAATTCTTTGCCGAATATCTTCTGCTAATTTCTCACTGCATTTTTTCCGACAAGTTACGGGGCAAGAAGTTTTCATAGTTCTCTTACTATGTACTTTTCTGTTTCTACTGACATATTCCAAACCTCTATTAACATTATATTTTCGCTCCTGATCCTTCCATTTTTTATGAAAACGTTCTCTTAGCCTTCCTTTATCTTTCTTAGCAATGGAAGTCCGCTTACGACGTTTGGCGTTATTGGACGGTGAGTATGTGATATCATTAATATCAGATGCAGGGGAGGCGACCGCAGGACTATCATTTAAGTCTAAATTAACAGGTGATGGGGCAAAAGAATTATAAGGCGATGGTACTGGAGTAATATTACAATAATTTTCAATAATGCTATTCTGGATGGGCGAATTCCCTGGAGTGTTTTCTATGACTGACGGCGATCGATCTCCTTTTTGAGTTCTACTATCACTATTCGGTACACAAGGCGAGGAGCAAGGAATATCATCCGGGAATAATATGGAAGCGTTAGAAGGGATATTTTGCAATACATACTTGCTATCATTTAAATTAACATCATCAAGTATTGATAGCTCCTCCTCCGTAAAATTTGCATCAGGTGGCAGTGGAGACTCTAAAACAATGATAATTTAAATTAAAATACAAGAATTCATATTTTTGTATTAAACATGCCAATTACAATTAATAAAACATATAACAGATTAAAAAAATATATTATAACACAATTAACACAAAAATATCAAAAATTGAATAAGTATATTATTATAAACATATGAGTCAAGTGTCTTCTTTATAAAATTTGTTCGCCGTATACTGGTGTAACAGCAGTTGTATGAGTATACGGCGTACTAAGCGACGTGAACAACAATTATCAAAGAAAAGCATAAAGATAACTTACCATATCTATCCCTGTTTTGCATTATATTATCATCGATTCTTGTGTTATTGTTTATTGTATCATTGGTATTATTCACATTGCCATTGAGTAAATTAAAAATTTTTCGCGCCCTGTTTGACTGCATAATGTTTCTTATATTAATTAAAAATATAAAACAATATAAGACAAACACATGCACATTTACTTTATTCACTAATTTTACGAAACAAAAATATTAACTAAAATTGCGTGTGCACTCGCCGCCGTTCATCGAATACTGAGCCACAATAAACTTATATCAATGCGTCCCCCCTCACGCCCCGCGTACATTGGTACAATGTTATTTGGATCAGTATACAATGTACGATTTTAACTGATGTTGAAATTGATTTAGTATACGTGAAATTATCTCCGTAATTATCGTTCTTTTTTAATTTTTTTTAGCACTAACATTAAGATCATGGTTTATTATGTAAGTTTATATAAAAATAATGAAATACCTAAATTTGTTAGATGACTCAGTATACTTAGGAGGTATCGATATATCTGCAGCGTGACTATGACGTTAAATAAAAATAACGAATCACAACGTTTGCCGCCAATAAGGCGGTATATTTCAATTTAGTTTTAAATGTTGTCATGTTGCGTTGCAGACGAGTTTCCGCGCGCTCTGGCGCTACATGTACCACATGTACCAGCTGGACGCGTTCACGCAGAGCTGTCCCGCAGACCAGGACATCATCAACCACTACAAACTGCAGCAGGTACCGTAATATTATATTATACACATTATCCTGTATCCTGGACTATCTGTGACATTTTATGACATTTGGCGCGTTTTTGTGACGTTATAATATTTATATCATATTTCTATGAATGTCTTGATAATTATCAACTTATTCGAGAGTAATATAATTTTATATTTTGGTTATAATGTTAGCATTACAATTTAATTTTTAATCAGTATAATATGTCACAGATTAGTGATTATCACTACCAAAGTGAAATTAAAATGGAGCATGGATCTTAAAAAAATGTAAAAAAATATTCATATTTGGACAGAATTTTTTTGGATTAGAAAGAACAAATAATTTGTGTTTAATTTCATCGATTGTGTTACTACTCCATTTTAAATTGTCTTTGGTCGGTCAATAGTTATGATGGTTTTGTGTCACAATATTAATAATTTTAAAATAAGAATTTTCGGGGTGAGCTGTATCAAATAGCTCTTTCTATTTTATGCCTATCTTAAACCAAGTACTATTTGTATGTATGAAGTATATTTCTAAATTGGGAACTTCTTTTGTGGGATTCTCTTCGTATACAACCCTATCTTACCTAATAATATCTTCTCTATCCAATATTTCTCACTATCGTCTACAGTTATCGACAAAAGGTATGGTTTTGTCGCCGAAGCTGGCGCGGCAAAGGATCGAAGACGATGCGGCCTCGGTACGTTGCGGGTGTAAAACATTGCGTTGCTCATACTGCATTCTTTCCATCGCGCCACTTCATTTGAGTCTTCTTTCCAAGCGTTTTTATGTCACTTTGTGCCTAACTGTTCTCGTTTGTGCAGGTTCTGGAGCTTTGTTTAATTGTGCATTGAACATAGAGATATTATAGTGTTTTGCTATTATATAGATAAGATATAATATGTTAAATACATATTCTAATAAAGAATTAAATAGTTTTTACAATAGTCCAACACGTAATATTTCTATGACAATTAGTTTGTAATTTCTAAAACTACGTCAAAATCATTTCAAATATTCTTAAAATGTTATATATTTTATTTCATTCTTTAAATGCTCATTTTTATTTCAAATGTTAATTTTTTAAACGTTTATTAATAATTCAATGGGATAATGTAATGCTCCCTTTGTAAAAATATTGGCGAAATCCTTCAATAAAAACCGTTCAAATATTATGTAGAATAACTATTGCATAAAACTAATTTTACGGATTTTATCGTGTTTATTTTTAACATTTTATTCCCGTCGCTTCGGACGCTCGTGGTTTCCGGCTCACGGAACCTATGGGTGGTGTAAAGCGCCCGAAATGTCAGGAATTAAATAGATAATATAAACACGATACAATTTGTAAAATTAGTTTTATTCAATGTATTCAAAAAAATATTTGAATAAACATGAGAAATCATTAACTTTTATTGCTTCATTAATTAATAACAAATGGACGATATAACGATATTACAAAGACGAGTCATTTAATTTAGAAGTATGAAATTAAAATAATATATGTAATATATTCTAGACACTCTGGGAATATTGACCGGTGAAGCTATTTGCTATTATTATAATATGCAGTAAATCAGCTCCTCTTCACATAAATTATTTCACTGTGGTTTAAGGTCAATTGCTTTATCTCTCACTACTGTATTTTTCAAGAAAAAAAGCCATTCTCTCATTATAACATTTAAAGCTTTCACGGTGTGATATGGTTGGGTCTTAGTACAAAACTAAAATAACTTATTAATATTTTTTGTTTTAATGTTAACTTTGACATTGTGTATTTTATTTTTTTCTCCCTCAACTAATTTTAACAAATTACCATAAAATAAAGTAAAAAAAAAAAACATATATGTATGATAGTAAATTATTTTCTACCATTTGACACAACACTGTTGATGTATATTAATTTAAATGGAGATTGTCTGTAAATAAACATACACAACTAAACTCCAAAATATGGTGCCCTCCGGTTAGTTTATATTTATAATAAGTAAATGTTTGCAGGCGCTTAAAATGAAAAAACACGAAGAACTCGAGACGCCGACCTTCACCACGTCGATCCCCATCGACGTCAACGATTCGAGCACCACCGAATAATAACGCGATACGTTGCTGCGGTGTGGAGCGATAGTGAACCTTGGTACAATAGAAATTAAGCTGAATATGCCGATACAAATCCCACTCACAGTGAATCCCGCCTGACTTTGACAAAACCATTAGTCGTACCGAGGATATCTTTCTGAGTAAAAATGTTACATAGTGTGATACTCCATAATTACTTTTTAAATTCCTCGGAGCCATGTCCAATATACAATGGTTGAAATATTTTGTACTTTTTTAAGTAAATATATAAGTGGAGACGAACCATTGGCAATGATACCTTATTTCTTTACTAATATAGTAAATTCAGAATGAGCGTATAATTCCATGCAATCAAAATTATTTTTTTGTGTTATTGTGGCGAATGTTACTTAATTGCTAAATGTTGTTAAAGAAAAAGTAAGCTGCTTTCAGTAAAACTGGATTTTTGTATTTTTTTGTAATCAATAGTGGGAGGTGTGTGTGGCCATTATTTTTGGTTATATAAATTTTTCAACATTTAAACAACTTTTTTTACATTTGGCAGAGGTGCTACAAAATGTCTTTATTTTTATAAATATTTTAAAATTATACAAACGCGACCAATGTGCAAATAAATTATATTGATATTCCAATACATACATTAAATAATTTTAGATTTTAAAGGCTATTTAGTATTCTAACACACAACGAATAGGCCATCATAGATTTTGTATTATATTCATAATAATGTTTAAGATTTAAAATTGAATACAGTATTTGTTGTTTTTTTTTCTTTGTATTTTAGTTTAAGATAAAAATGTCACTGTTATTCTAAAATTTGCCCTCTGCCTTTTCATGCCAATATCGAGATTAAATTTTGATTTAACTTAAAAAAAAAAAAAACAATTGTTAGCGGTCTTGCCTGCCTCAAAGTTACCTTTTTGAAGGTAGATATATTTAAGTACTTATTTTTTAATTTGTTTTAAACTTGTGTTACATTTCAATACGATAATTACAAGCTTTCAAAAATCAGATGTAACTCGACTTTGGACCCGGTTAAAGATAAATCTTTAAAGTATGAACATTTTGATAATAAAAAACTATATTGAATTCATTTTCGTCAGTTTTATTGTTATAAAATTTTGTTTATTTATTGATTTAGTTGTAGACTTGGAACATTATAAATTAGGTTAAACATTTTTGGAATAACAAATTATCTACGCAAGTGTGTATGAAAAATAATTTTGTATTTGTTCTGCATTTCAATAAAACTGACAAAAATTATAGTTTATTCCACATAATATGAAGTCCTGAAGGCCCTTTTTACTGGAAATGAGGCATTCCATCTTAGTCCTCACGGGTGACAACGCATCTACATTTTGATTTGTAATAGAGGATAGATGTAGATGTCTATGGGCCGCAGCAACCACTTACCATCAGGTGGACTGTGTGCTCGTTTGTCACCCTTATCCTATAAAGAAAAAAAAAAGTCCCATTAGACGGATGTCGTTAAGAAAACTAGTGAAGAATTAATTTGGATGAAAAGTTTTGTATATCAGTTGTCGACTGCTGTTATGTGAACAGACTAGAATTGAATCAGTGAAAAAAATATAGTTAAATTACAATAAGAAATGTTTATTGTACGGATTGTATTAAATCAAACTATGTTTAAATAAATTGTGTTCCTGTATACTAAAATGTATATGCTACATAAAATTCTGTTGATCATGTATAACCGTTCAATCAATGTTCAAATCGGCCTTGCTGATTTGTTAATCCAAACTAAATGCCGTTATCCCTTTTTTCTGCCTTTGTATTTTTTTTTTTTTTGAATTTATTAGGCCACCTTACGAATTTTGCCTTATTATTGACAAAAATTAATAACTATGATTACTATAATAATATTATGTTTGTGTAAGTCAATGAAAAAAATATTGAACATACCATAAATATCATTCCATGTTTTACCTGATTGATATATTTTTTTAATTTAGCTAAAAAGTTGTGTTATTATTAGTGCACTTTTAAAAAACGTATAAAGTGACGAGAGATATAGAGTGTATAGATGGATACCGGACTTCATATTTGGAATAGACTTACAAAATGTCTTTTTATATAAGAACATACTATCTAACTTATCCTAAACCATTCATTCCGCCATAGAAAATGAACACTAATAATCAAGATAAATGACTTGCAGTTTTTTCCGATACATTATAGTACACAGTAGACAAGGGCGAGAGATATACTTGTCAATTGGGCAATGTGTAAAATATTAAATACTAGATATTCATGTATATATTACCATAATATTTACATGATTATTTAGTGTTGCTAGATAATAATTTAAATGTTAAGAAATAAACCTGGATAAATATTATTATTTTTTTATTCGTGTTTTATTTTTGCATGCCTTTTATATTTTATATATTATTTATTTCTTCTGTTTATTTACAATTCTTTTGCGTTATGTAAATATAAGATTATTGTGATTTATGATTCTAAAAAATTGAAACTGCTTTGTGCCTTGCTTTTTAACAGAATTATAATAAGTATTAATAATTATTAGACTCGAACCTACTAGAAACTAAGTTTGTCGATTTTTTCGAATTTGGTTATCATTATAAATGGGACACTTTAAACTTGGGATTGGGATGAAATTATTTTACTGATATTATAACATTTATTAGGATATTTCAAATTAAGAAGCTTACTATATTCGCGTCTATGTTCATTAATGTGTTCAGGTTTAAATTTTGCAGATATCATGAATTTACAAGTATTCTACAACGAGTGGCATAAAGACATCTGTGTGAAATCACAAATACAACTCACTAGTTCAATCGACAATACTACTTAAACTTGTAATTTTTTTTTTATTGCCAGAACATCCTTTTTGTAACACACGTCAAAGGATGGCCATTTCTTGCATCGTCCACTAAGATGCCAATAATCCATTCTGCAAAATAATGTTATCCATTTCACGATACACGGTAGCGGTAGGCGATTGTTACTACAAACAATCGAATTAGTCGATTGTTCCGTTTAGTTAATAAAAATTAATTATAGTCGATTGTACTATTAGTGTTGCGTGATTTACGTTTAAACATATTGGTTGCTTTGCGTATGGGTGCGGTAGGTACGCTATGCAACGCAAAAATCGATGGATTGCATAATATTGTCGACTAGAGATTAGAATTGACGGCGGAGAACGACAAGACGAGTGAACATTACGCATAATCACGATCATTGATTTCTAAACGGTTCAGTGCGAGTAACACGCCAGGCGTGCCATCGATTACTTTTGTGTAACGTATGACACGCGAGTCGTGTCTTTTAAAAAATCGTTATAACTCGCTCAAATTGCTTTTTTGGAAAATTTATCCAGAACAAAATATTCATTATTTTGCGAGTAGTTCATGCATGCAGCTTCGTTTCTGGATATTTTGAAAATTTGAAATTTTTAGGGGTTGACAACCTTTTTTTAACGTGTACATGGTACTATTTTTACTTTGTGGGTTTTAAATCATGTTATGGAAAAATTGTCTAATAAGTAACAAATAATAGCACTCATTGCAATCGCTCACAAACTCAAGTTGTAAATAAATTTCTGGAAAACAAGTCTCCTGTTAAAAAAAACAATGCGTTTGTCTTATTGTTTAATTTTGCTTAAAATGGTTGAACTGCCGTCTTATTACTATCATTTGGCCGAATAGACCTACGAAGTACCATGTGCTCTTGTGATATGGAAATAGTCTTTTGTCAATCCGCCGCCGTATAGCGCCGGCGTTTTTTTCCTTTTGAAAACACTTGTTTTGCTATTCTTACTAATTATAGGTTTTCAGATCGACTTTACTTTTACATTTGTATAACATTAAATAATATTTAACATTTGTAATCAATGAATGATATACCTTTTTTTTTTTCAAATTAAGGTTTGATATTTACAAATGTTATAATAATTGCATTTGTAAATTAATTTACAAATGCAATTATTAGGTGAAAATTTAATTTAATAAAAACCAAGGTTTCCAGGGTGATTTAGCTGTACCGACTTATATAAATTATTTTTTCATAACAACAAAAAATAGTACAAAAGGTTTGTAATCTCTTCATAAAAAAAATCACTCTCTCAATTTCAAAGAAAACGCGTAAAAAAACACGTAGTTACCCACTAAAAACAAGTAACCTTCCATTTGTAACTTATGTTTGATGTCAAATAAACTTAATTAGGTCTAAACAAGTGAAAAAAGCTGTGTGTGGTGCTTGACACGCCCGGCGTGTCATGAAATATTTGTTCGCCACCACAGCTAAAAGTTGTCGAAAATTGGTGCCGCAACGAATCGGTTAATGCATCTATTAGAATGACATTCTAGTTGTTACCTTGAGCTTGTGATATTATATTAACAGTGAAAAAAAAATTCCACTTAATAATTATTACAATTATAATAAAAATAGCTATAATGATTATAATCAAAACAGCTTCTGAAGTCGGTGCTGATAAAAGAATTAAAGCCCTCTTTGTAGTCTGCTTTTATTTTTTCGGTGACTTAAAAAGGGAGGTTTACGATTCGGCTGTATGTTCTCTTTTTGTTGTATGTATGTTACGCAATACTACGTCAATTGTGAACCACTGTGAACTCAGGATTGAGCCCGTATAAAGGAGAAAATATTCTACCCTTAGCTCACTCAATATCTAACACACAAAAGTGTAAAAAAAAAACCAAAATCGCGTCGTGTAACATACATACATAATTTAAAATTAAAAATTTTGTACAACCGACTTCAATATAAATTATTAAGAATAAATCAAGAACTATTAGTCAAACCATGGTCTAATTTATATAGGACCACATGAGAAGCACCAGCTTTCAAATAAAAAAAAAGAATCATCGAAATCGGTTCAACCAGAAAAAGGTTATGATGTAACACAAAAAAACATACAGTCAAATTGAGTACCTCCTCCTTTTTGAAGTCGGTAGAAAAGAACAAACAGTCTGATTGTAAACCTCCTCCTTTTTTAAGTCTGCTAAAAA